TCATCCAGGAGTGCCCCGACGGGGCGCAGCCGCCGCTGAGTTCGCCAGGAGACGCGCAGCTCGGGAAGAAGACGAGCGAGTATGGGTATCCAGGATTAATCGGTCGCATTCGATTCAGCGTGACGGGTGGGCTTGACCAGGGGTAGTGATTCATTCGTCGGGCGGGCGGCGCTGTCTGGGCGGCTTCGCCCGCTCGACTCGTCGAGCGCTCCGAGGGGCAGGTCTGGGCCGCTACTGGGCAGGAGGCCCAAGAGACCGAGCCTCTGGACACTGGTCGTTTTGAACGCGCTTCGGGAACAGATCAAGTCTAGGTCCCCGGGGATTGAGTCTGGACCGCGAAAGTTCCGGCTTGGGGCCCGCCTCTATTCCGCAAGAGCTGCGGCGGCCCCGCAGGGCGCGAGGATCCTGCGCTGCCCGTGAGAACCTCCTGGGTGCCGCCCTGGACTTTGCCGGCCCCTCGGGCCCGCCTGGGCCGTCGAGTCCTCCGAGGCTGACCAGTCCCAGTCCTCCCAGCGCTGCGGCCCCTCCGGCGCCCGTGTCTTAGCGCGCGGAGTCAGCTCCGAGCCCGCGGCCAGGGTGTTGCCCGACGCCGAGCTCGAAGGGAGTATGCTCCCAGTTTCCAGCTTGCGTCCCGATTGCGATCACGGGGGAACTGGCGTCGGCGGGCAGGGCCAGCAGCGCGCCCGCGTGTCGCCGGGCTGTGGAGCTGACCCTTCAGGCTCTTCGAGTTCCTCAGATGATGGGAGAGATCGAGGTTGGCCATGCGCGTTTTCGGAGGTCTTCGAGGCCTCTGGGGGCCGGGGACCTCTCTCTGCCGCGAGCGCCCCGAGTTGTTTCTGTTCTGGGGGCGCCGACGCGTGGGGTCGCCATGGGCGCCCCGACCCCAGGCTCCCTAGATGTCCCCAGTGGAGTCAGCTGAGGACCTGGAGGAACGGGGCGTTGCCCTCCTCGAGGAGCTCACGGATTGTTCGAGGGTGCCGGGAGCTCTCGATTATTCTTCATTTTGGGCGCTAAGAGATCTCCTCGGCTGAGCGGCCGCCTGCGCTGGCCCAGCGGAGCGATTTTTGGAACCGTGTCAACGCCTCGCCCTTGGCCTTGATGATTTTGTTGTAATGATCGCTCCGTTTCACGCTCTAAGCGACGCCCCCTTGCTCTGGCGCCGGATTTTTGACCGGGTGTATGAGCGACCGAGGTTTCGCCGGGGGTCTCCTCGAGCTCTGCCCGCTACTATGGCGCGGTCCCTTCAGACGCTGGGAGGCTTTGGTTTTGATCGAGGTCGATGATCTCGATGTCTCTGGCGCGGGGTTGACCGTCGCGATTTTGAAGACTGCCGTGTGTCATCGGATTCAGTTCGGGAAGTAGATGCCGGGGGGCTCTGAGCATGCCGGGGGGCGACTGGTTCAGCCGGGGGATGGTGGCCGTCTGCCAGGGGAAATGCGGTCGAGAACGGCTGTCCGCCGTTTTTTTGGACCGACGCGGAGAGAGCGAAGCCGAGCCTCCTCTGTGCCGAGGAGAGATTTCCAGTTATCGCGCGGTGGTTGCCCGCGTGCAGTGGCCAGCTCGAGAGAGCCGGCCGGGCGTCGCGGGGGGCGCGTCGCTCTTCGCCGCCCCCCTTCCCCGGCCCGCACTTGCCGATGCTCTGGCGCTGGCCGAGGCGTGCGAGTATTTGAAGGGCAGGAGCGGGCTGGAGCTGACCATTTGGTCTCCGGGCCCCTCCGGGCGCGCGTTTCGCCGCTGCTGGCGACTCGGGGGGGCCAGGTTTCGCCGGCCGAGAGGGGGCCAGGGGAGTTGGGTCGCGATGGCGGCGGACAGGGGGGGGGCGTCGGAGGAAAACGGAGGTCAGCGTTCTCTCTCTTGGCGGTCTCGGCGCGTCAAGAAGGCGGCGGCCGACGCGGTGGCCGCCGAGACTTTTGCACTGTCTGCGGCCGCTGCCGAGGCGCAGTGGCTTGGATCGTTGTGGCGTGGCGCTGTTTTTTGGAGACGTTTCCCGTTTTCGTGTTCCCGCTGGCGCGTTTCGCAGGCCCCGCGTGCGGGCGTTCTTGCGAAGGACTGTCGATTGTCTGAGCCGACCTCGGGGCTGCCCTCGTTGGCGCCAAGTCATTTTCGCAATTGCGCCGGCTAGAGCCGATCGTCGAGGCGCCACCGAGCTTACCGTGGCAAGAGACCCCTGAGCTCCATAGGTTCCCAGGTCAGGTGGACGCCCCAGGCCCGTGTGCCCGCAGGCCCGTTAAGGAAGCTGAAGTTGCATCCGTCGACGGGGGATTTAGCTTTCCATGCTCTTGTGCGTGGAGGTGCCCTGGCCCTGATCGACGAGCGCGGCCGCGTAAACGAGAGGTCTCTCAAGCTTAGTCTGAAGAGTCGTTCGCGGGGGGCTAGCCGACGAGCTCGAGCCGAATCAGCTGAGGATAATGCCCGAACATTCGACGCTGAGGTGAGTGAGCCCGAGGAGGAGGAGGGGGGGGTAATGACTCGTAGAGCTTCCCTAAGAGCGTTAGCGGCGAAGCTAGAAGAGTAATTCCGCCGCGCAGGGGGGCTAGTTGACGCAAAAATCTCGACGGAAGTTTTGCATGCTTTTCTTAGTTTGAATTCGATTTCTCGAAATTTGAACTTTCGTTGGAGTTCTAGTAATTTTTCCCCCATATTCGATCTTATTCCCGGTCGTCATCTTAATCTCACCTCGATCGGGTACCTATTACTGCCAAAAAGCACTGGGGCGGGATCGGCTGTTTCGTGTCATCTTGGCAGGTGCTGTCGGTTTTCTGTACTTAACTCGAGCTGTGGGATAGCTACAGTGCTGGCAGGCACACCTACTCGATCTAGAATCGTCAGGCGCGTACGTCTGAAGCATCTAGATGTCTGAACTCGGTCTGCTACCCGAAAATGAGGCCGGCACCTCAGCGAGAGCAGCATGTTGAATCCGGGGAAACCTGTGTGTAAAAAACAGTACGCGGGGGGGGTCGGATATATTCAAGCCGTCATCAGGGGAAGAGGGAGAGTAGGTATTCATATTGAGTAATTGTGGAGAGAGAGAGAGAGAGAGAGAGAGAGAGAGAGAGAGAGAGAGGAGGTCACAGGGGTAACGCGGGAGGAGGAGACAGACGAGGAGGAGACCAGCCCCAGACCCGGAGCGGCGCAGACTTCGCGCCCGCGCATCCCGGATATCAAAGGCGCCGTCTCCCGCCCCTGCCCAAGCCGCGGAGCCGGCAGCGACCCCGCCGCAGCCCGGCCTTTGCAGCCTCCCCTCGGGCCACTGACTTCGCTGCAAGGGGCGCCTGTGCAAGTTCCAACCGCGTGCCTGCTCACTGTCGTGGGCGCGACTCCCCCCATGGCACCGAGGTAGTTAACCCGTCATATCCAAGTAGCTTGTAGTCATGTGGATCTGTGCTGGAGACTTTCAAGGAAGTAGCAGCGCCGCCAGCTCCCCTGGCACCGCCCACAATCGAGGTCCGTAGGTGTTTTTGGATTTCCAGATCCCAATCTACTTCAAGCGCCCTCCTACTTCAAGAATCGACATGTTTTTGCTGTGTTTTGTTATTCTGTGGGAGGACCTGGACCCAATCCACTATATCCGCCTTCCTACTTCATGTTTCTACTTACTTGTTCCGACCGACGTGTACTGTCTCCAAGCATCGCGCATGTCCCATAATATGGACCGTGTTCGTTTGCGAGTAGTTCTGCGCTGCCCCGCAGTGTCAGCTCCGACGTTCGCAGCATTGTGTCGGGTCCGAAAGAGCCTCTTGCGAATGGATCAGGTGCCTATGCTCGCTGGCCTCGGCAAGTAGTATCTCCTTTTGCCCGCCGGGTGCCGCTCGCCTCAGTGTTTTTCCCCTGGCTACGGAACGCGGCCCGCCCTAGCTTGCTCGGCGTTAGACTCGCATGTGTGCGCCCGCGGACCAAAAACGAATTCCACCATTCCATCCAAAAACAGACCAGGCGATATTCCTTGATCAGGGATGTGTAACATCCTGGTTGAGTTCTTGCCTGCGGTGCCTGTATTACGTCGTGCGTACCCGGGGCCACCTTGATCGAATGGTTGCCTGTCGTTGCGCGCCGTGCGCGCGTTGGTTCGGGCGCGCGAACATCGACGCGCGCATGGATCATCCAGCAAGCAGGGAACGATGACCTGCAACCACGCAACCCAGGCAACCGTGGGAAACGTTTTCCCGTAGTACCGCCTACATAGTGAGCCTGGGCATTTGCAGTGACGGTGCCCAGGCAATTTGCCTTGATGTGGTAAGTGTGCCAGCATGCAGCGTAACAAGGAGGCGTTGGGGGCGACGACTACGATGATGCCGACGACAATGTTGACGACGACGACAACGATGACGAACATGACGATGGAAATGACAAAAACGACGACGAACACGACAACCACGACGACAACCGACAACGACAACGACGGCGACGATAACGACGACGAAGACGACGACGACGACGACACGACGAACACGACGACCATGACGACGACGACAACGACGACGACGACGACGACGGCGACGACGCTGAGGCGATTTTGAGGGCTCGTGGAGACATATTATAGTCTGTTATCTTGAACCATCTTGCGATATCACGAGCGATCTTGGAGGATTTCCCTGGCTCTTCTGGGGCCCTCTTGGAGCCACCGGGGGCTAAGAAAGACTCTGTAGCACCTCGCGGGGTGGGGGGGTCCAGACCCAGAGGGGGTATGGGGAGGGGGAACCTCCACCCGAGGGGGAAGAAGGGGGCTAGCAAAACGAGCTCCTTAGACCACTCATGCCCAGAGGGCTGGGATTCAAGGAGGGGGTAGCACTGATATCACTTCGGTGAGTGGTCCTGGCCGAGTGCCTGGAAGATTTGGGTCTCAAAAGAGATTCACATTGTCGGGCGTTCGTAGCTTGCGGCATGTAGACAATCTCCCCCTTTTTCTGTCGCCGCCCCTCCTTCTTCTGTCATGGAAACGTATCGGCCATGTCCTGCTCTCTTTCCATCCCTGCGCGGTGATTTGCTCGGTCGCCGCCAAGGTAGCTTATTGTCGGTGTCGCATCCGCACCGACCTGCTAGCTGACCAGCGCGACAGGGGCATCTACGTCGAGGTGGAGGCGGGGTCTGGCTGCTAAGCGAAATTTTAGAGAGTCTGCATTTCAGGACTGGACGGGCCCCCATCGTAGGATCGCCATAAAATGGAAGAAGCTGGTCGACACCATTGGCCACACAGACATCCTTCGCGACACCTGCCCCGAGAGGCCCCTTGGAGGCCAAGAATTGGCCACGAAAAGGCCCCCGAGAGCTTCACAACTGCTTCTAACACGCCCCCGATAGGCATCACGGAGTTCGATCCTGGTGCGGAATTGGCACGTTTGCGCTACTCGGGGGGGTCACGGCTGCCCAGCGCTCGGTCGTATAATCAATTGTTTCAGTTCCACCCTGGATGCCCACCCAGAATCACTTCGAACATGCCTGAGACAGGACTTTCTTTATAACTGTACATTCTTGACAAGGAGTAGGATTAGGGGTCCAAGAAGCAGAAGGTTGACGCTGAGGCGGATGATGAGGATTATTCGAAGGAGTGTGCCCACCCAGGTCCCACCCAGGCCGTGGTCCAAGACTATGCCGACACGCCTGAGCTCATTTGGGGTGGTCACGACTGCCCCTGCGCTGTCTCCCAGAGCCAGTTGAAGACGGCCCCGCGAGGGCCCCGAGACGGCCAAAGTGGCCCCCAAGAGGGCCCATGACGAATCCAGAGGGCCCTCAGAGAGGCCCCCCAGAGGCCGGGACCACCAGCCAGCCAGTGCGCCCCCATGACGCTCCCTATGCGCCACAGGAGCCCCAGAGGCCCCCAGAGACCCCAAAAGGCCTCAAAGAGGATCTTGGAGGCTTCCAAGAATCCCCAAGTAACCTGAACCGAAAACCCGGACCCCCCTCGATCCTCGATCCCTCCTTCCTTCCTCTCTCCCCCCCTGCGTGAGCCCACCGCAGTCCAACAAAAAGTCCCGCCCCCCTCCCTACCCTCTCCCTTCCTTTTTCTGGTTGTTACCGGGGCCATGAATCGAGCTTCAGGTGGCCGTTCGGGATGCTTCGGGCCGAGAGGAGGGGGGAGGGCAAGGGGAGGCCCATGACTGCTTCACCCGCGCTTCATCACATCGCCATAGACTGGGCTAGAACCTACGGTAGGTTCGCGTCGTGTCGACTGGCGGCGACCCCGCCGCAGGCGTTCAACGTTGAGCGCCGCCAGCGACCCAGAATCGGTCGATGTTGAACGATCGGAGGTTTCGGAAACGGCAAGGTTGAACGATCCCCGCGATGTCAGAAACCAACGCCGAAGTCGGCACGACACAAACCCGCCGTACGCGCGCGCAAAGTGCGCGCGCAGCTCCAGTTTCCACTATGAGACGTGAGCTCCTCAGTGGCTGAGGCCTAGTGTTTGCAGCGCGATGGCCTCCCCCAGAAAGGGAGGCGAATCTGTGGGCGGTCATCCCTGCGGAGGTTTTCTTCCTTTGCTGGTTGTTGGGAGGGCCAAGTCTACCTGCGTCTAGAAGACTAATATCTCAGGCCGGGCCTATGCAAAACACCTTTCGCACTTTCTAGCCACAAGCGTCTATGGACACCTTGGATGTCGTTACGTACGTAGACACATGCGGGGTGAATGCGTCTATAGGCAACGCGGCCGTTGCGTTTGACGCAGTACACGTTGGGAAAGGGAAGATCCGTCGACGGTACATTCCAGTTGGAGAGCAGGTCCCACATGGTATTCCAGCGTCGCCGGTGCCAGTCTGTATCGGAACCCCGCCAGGTTTTAGCGAACGTGGACAACCTGAGCCTGGCAATTGTTGACTTTGAGGCAGCGGCTATTCATTCGATAGGGGTCAGCGAACGTGCACCCGAGCACATGTACCCTCGTGCACGGCTGGCAAGCATGCGATACGTACGTGCCCAGTAGCGTTCACGCTGGGCTTTGCCCTCCAGTGCGATCGGTTGCTGAATCTCGTTGAGTTCATGTGGCGCCGTGCATGGAGACGCAGTCATGGAACGCTTGCAATCAGACTTTGTTATGATCCTTGGTGGTGCGAGGGGGAGAACAGCAGGATGCGGAGTTAGGGGGCAGGGACGGATTTTTTGGGGCTCGTCGCTTCGAGCGAGGCGGTGGCAGTGGCCGCGTTTCTGGGCAGAAGGACGCTGACCCTTGCAAGACGTGGTCCATACTCTAGGTTTAAGTCGGGCATGTCCCCCTACAGGAGGAATATTCAAAAATAGTCCACAGATAGTCTGGGGACGATTTCTTGATAATTTTGGAGTATTCGTTTGAGCATTTTTTAGATTTTCTCATTCTTCGTCCAAAATCCGCCTGTAGGGAGACATGCCCGACCTAACTCTAGGTGACACCGCTCGACGGCGGCTGCGGAGCCGGATGCGGATTCGGGTGCCAAGGGTGGGGCGGAGGTGAGCTGTGTCTGATTTGTTGTGCGGCATCTTAGCCGAAGATTTTTGCTTGCCACGGCCAGATTTGGGTCCTCTCGAAGCCTCATGGAAGCGTCTGGGAGCCCTCCAGGGCCTTTTTGGGATGGGCCCTTTGGGGCCCTCTCGGGACCACGTTGGAGGCCATTCACAACGGGGGGCGGGCGTTGATTTGTGCCGCCCTGTGCAATCAAGCAAAATGACCAACGGGAACCCTTATTGGGCTCTTTTGACGCTCTCCTGCGGCCTTTTCGATGCTACTTTGGGCTCCCTTGGTGCTCCCTTGAGGGTGACCCAGAGGGCTTTCGGTGCTCTCTCGGGGCCCTCTTGGGGTCCCTCTGCGGGCCTTTTTTTGCTTTTGTTCCCAACCATCCTGTGGTGTTGGGTCCTCGTTTTGAAGAGACGGTGCCCCGCGTCTCCTTCCTCCTCTCCTCCTCCGCCTCCTCTCCTCTCCTCTCCTCCTCTCCTCCCCTCCTCTCCTCCTCTCCTCTTCACCCACCCAGTACACCGTTTCGTGGCTCCATAGGGAGCTCCACCGAAGGCCCCAGTGCCCGCGCCCGCATGCGTCACCCACACCCATTTCGGCACACCCCTCACACGTTTCGTGGCTCCATAGGGAGCTCCACCGAAGGCCCCAGTGCCCGCGCCCGCATGCGTCACCACACCCATTTCGGCACACCCCTCACACGTTCGTGGCTCCATAGGGAGCTCCACCGAAGGCCCCAGTGCCCGCGCCCGCATGCGTCACCCACACCCATTTCGGCACACCCCTCACACGTTTCGTGGCTCCATAGGGAGCTCCACCGAAGGCCCCAGTGCCCGCGCCCGCATGCGTCACCCACACCCATTTCGGCACACCCCTCACACGTTTCGTGGCTCCATAGGGAGCTCCACCGAAGGCCCCAGTGCCCGCGCCCGCATGCGTCACCCACACCCATTTCGGCACACCCCTCACACGTTTCGTGGCTCCATAGGGAGCTCCACCGAAGGCCCCAGTGCCCGCGCCCGCATGCGTCACCCACACCCATTTCGGCACACCCCTCACACGTTTCGTGGCTCCATAGGGAGCTCCACCGAAGGCCCCAGTGCCCGCGCCCGCATGCGTCACCCACACCCATTTCGGCACACCCCTCACACGTTTCGTGGCTCCATAGGGAGCTCCACCGAAGGCCCCAGTGCCCGCGCCCGCATGCGTCACCCACACCCATTTCGGCACACCCCTCACACGTTTCGTGGCTCCATAGGGAGCTCCGCCGAAGGCCCCAGTGCCCGCGCCCGCATGCGTCACCCACACCCATTTCGGCACACCCCTCACACGTTTCGTGGCTCCATAGGGAGCTCCACCGAAGGCCCCAGTGCCCGCGCCCGCATGCGTCACGGCACCCACACGTTTCGGGAGCTCCACCGAAGGCCCCAGTTGCGTTTTCGGCACACCCCTCACACGTTTCGTGGCTCCATAGGGAGCTCCACCGAAGGCCCCAGTGCCCGCGCCCGCATGCGTCACCCACACCCATTTCGGCACACCCCTCACACGTTTCGTGGCTCCATAGGGAGCTCCACCGAAGGCCCCAGTGCCCGCGCCCGCATGCGTCACCCACACCCATTTCGGCACACCCCTCACACGTTTCGTGGCTCCATAGGGAGCTCCACCGAAGGCCCCAGTGCCCGCGCCCGCATGCGTCACCCACACCCATTTCGGCACACCCCTCACACGTTTCGTGGCTCCATAGGGAGCTCCACCGAAGGCCCCAGTGCCCGCGCCCGCATGCGTCACCCACACCCATTTCGGCACACCCCTCACACGTTTCGTGGCTCCATAGGGAGCTCCACCGAAGGCCCCAGTGCCCGCGCCCGCATGCGTCCCACACCCATTTCGGCACACCCCTCACACGTTTCGTGGCCCCATAGGGAGCTCCGCCGAAGGCCCCAGTGCCCGCGCCCGCATGCGTCAGCCACACCCATTTCGGCACGCCCCTCACGCGTTCCGTGGCCCCATAGGGAGCTCCGCCGAAGGTCCCAGTGGGTGTGCCCGCATGCGTCCCGCACACCCATTTCGGCACACCCCTCACACGTTTCGTGGCCCCATAGGGAGCTCCACCGAAGGCCCCAGTGGGTGTGCCCGCATGCGTCCCGCACACACATTTCGGCACACCCCTCGTACGTTTCGTGGCCCCGTAGGGGGCCCCACCGAGAAGATATTCACAATTGCAGTATTCACAATTGCATATGGTTGGGTCCTTCGCCAGGATATTTTTTTTGGGTACTGTGAGGCCTTTTGGGCCCCTCGGAAAGCAACGATGCGAATTTCATCAAGCAACTTTCATCGTTCAGTTTTTCCATGACGTTTGCCTTCTCACGGTTTTTCTTGGAGGGCCGAATGGCCACCACAAGAGCCATTTTGGTGTTTTCTTGGGGCCTCTTGAGGTCATGTTGGTGGCCATCTGGAGCTATGTTGGCCCCTCTTGCGGCATCTTCAAGGCCTGTTTAAACTATTTAGTATGACCATTCTGGAAAGCAGGCGAGTGGCATGGCGACGCACAGTGCGCAATCTGCGGATGTATGGCGTCGACGCCCTCCTCTTGCTCTGCTGTGCTTTGGACGGGTAGCAGCAGTGGCTCGAGGGGAGAAACACGACGGCCATGGTCAAGATGTCGCGGGATCTTGTCGACGCCGATCCTGTCGTAAGAATGTGATTGGGTTTCCTCCCTGCTCCCCCATTGTATATTGTCATTTCCTCTTTCTCCCCTTGTTCTCTTTCTCTTTCTCTCTCTCTCTCTCGCTCTCTTTCTCTCTCTCTCTCTATATATATGTATGTGTGTATACCACTCTCGCTCGATTGATACTGCCTGCTCGGCTCGAGCCAGCTTGAGTCACCGTGGTGGCTGGCGTGGCAGCCAGGAGAGCAACAGGTGCCCTCCTCTCGACCCCTGTCGGGAACCGCCGCCGGCCCCCGCTGGCAGAGCTGGGGGGGCGGGGCCCCGCAGGCTCCCCGGGTGCCGCAGCGGCAGCGGAGCGCCGCGGGCGCGCCGCAGCAGCAGACTGGCGAGGCAGCCGGAGGCTGGGCACAGGAGGACGTTGCTGGGCAACGGCAGCGGCGAGAGCGCGATCACGGAGACCTGCGAGGTGCACGACGACGGATTCGCTGAGAACTGTCTGGAGGTAGGAAGAGGGGTATGGTGCAGAGGGGTGAGGTGCCAATTTCATGTAGACGGGAATCTGGCCATGTTATTCATCGCAGATAGCATCGCCATTTCCACGATTGGCACCATACCCCTTTACGCCACACCCATTTCCGACCCCCAAGAACTTGAGTATCGTATGAGGGCAGGAGGTCGGCCAGTGGCGGCGGCATCCTCAGCCCGCACGCGCTGCCACCCAGAGGAGCTTCACCTTTTGGTGGCGGCGGCGAGTGGTGGAGGCAAGCCACGAGCACTCATGGGCTTGCGGGTGGCCCTCAGCTTAGCAGGGGCCTCGGGGGCATACCGAGCTGGAACGGCTCTGCGTCGAAGGGGTGGCGCTACAAGAAGGATGTGGCCCTGTGGATCGAGGGAATGAGGCTTGGACGTGACGTGGAACTGGGCGGCACGAGTGGTGAGGTGCCAGACGGGCGCGGCGAAGACGCTGGGTGAATCCATCCCGATGGTCGAGCTGCGCGCGAAGCCCTGGGCGTGGGTGCTGGAACCTCGGGGGGAAGGAAGCGCCGATGCAGAGAACGAGGGCGACTATGAGGAGACAGGCCATTGGGAGGAGCTCGACCCCATGGCTGGCATCAACGGGCTGATGGAGGTGCAGGTGATGGGGTACTTCTACAAACATCTGCACCGCCGTGCAGGAGAGGGTTTGAGTGCGTGGATGATCAGGTTCGGTGAAACTCGCGGGCAGCTGGGCGAGGAAAACGTGGAATTCCCGCCAAGGGCCGCGGGCTGGTGGCTGATAGAAAAGACGGGCCTGAGAGGCGTGCAGGAGAGAATGCGAATGACCTCTACGGGCGGGGGCATGGAGCTAAAAGACGTGGCGCCCGCAATGCTGCGGGTATTTCCCAGCTTGCACGCGACGGAGAGACGCCCCACGTGCGACTGCTATCGGACGAACAACTAATTAGAGTGAGCTGGGGAAGGTCATGCTGAAAAAGACAGGTCTTCGCATGTTCAAGGAAACAAGCGTTTCCGAGGACCTCGACGGCGCCAGTCAGCTCGACGAGGGCAAGCTCGAGGCCCTAGCGGCGGAGCTCTACAGCTGCGACGGCGACAGTGAGGATGACTGCGAGGAGGCATTTCTTTGGCGCCGCAGTGGCGGAGCCAGAAGTTCAACGGCCCGTGGTGGATCAGCTACTGTGCCTGCCCTGGTGCCAGATGGCCAGTTCGGCCCCCGCGGGGCCTTCGTGCCCAGGGCGCCTCCGCCGTGGCAGGCTCGAGAGGCCGAGGCAGCAGATGAGGCCTTGCCCAGGCAGATCGCCGCCGAGGAGCGGCAGGGGGATCAGCGGTGCGGCCAGAAGCGCGGCGCCGAACAGGCTGAGCTACCAGAGGCCCCCTCGCGAGGTGGTCGGGATGGGCCTCGTGAGCCTCGGCGCCGGGATGCTGCGCCGTGGGTCGAGAACGCGCGAAGAGAGCCGCGAGCTGGCTCGGCGAAGCCCCTGAGGTTGATGGGGTGAGGTTTCTGGGCCACGTGGGGGGTTCCCCGACTGGATCCAGGGATCGAGGTGATGCCCGTGCAGGGCCGCGCTCGGAATGAGAAGGCTTGGAGTCGGATGGGTCCGCCTACCAGGGCTGACTACGAGGAGACAGCGGCGTCGCAGTGGAGCAGGTGGGTTGACGCCGAGTCCTTGGAGGTGCTACTGGGGGAGGAGTCGCTTGAGCTTGAGGAGTCGATGGGGCGCGCGGGCGCGGGCGACTACGTCCCGAGCGCGCGGTGGGCGCTCTCCGACGAGGACGATCTGCGATGGGTGGAAGCCAACGACCCCCCCTGGAGGCGAACGCGAGGCTCGCGGCCCACAGCGGCGGCCCCGGAAGGACCGGCGAGAAGTCCAACGCGCGCGTGGGCGCTCCCTGCGCGACGACCCAGTCGGAGATGATTCTGACGCAGGTGGTCCCATTTGGAGTGGGCGTTCGGCTCCAAGGGTGCGAGAGGCGCGTTCCTGAAGGGCGAGGTGGGCGAGGTGGGCGAACGTGGCCTGGTGGTTCGTGCCCCTAATCATGGGCCGTCGCTTGCTGACCTCCCTCGGTCGACTGGCGCGAGTTCGGAAAGGTGCGTTCGGGCCCCCGACCGCGCCGAGGTTGCGGCGCCTGAACGTTGTGGCGGCTGCCCGCGAGCCGGGGCTGGACGGCTCGCGATCGGGCCCCGCGTTGCTGGTGTTGCGCGACCCCGAGGTTGAGAAGGGGGGCTTCGACTACCCGCGTGGGTGTGTCTGCGTTCGCGCGCGCGATTTCCTCTGGGCCAGCGAGGAGAAGATGGCGAAGGTGATGGGCGCGCCGGGCGCGGAGTTCGGCTTCGGGAATGAGGGGCGCGACGATTTCGTGTTCTGCGGCCGAAGGGCCAGGCGCCAACCTGGAGGAGCCATCGACGTCGACGTGATGGAGTGCGCAGCGGGGCTGGGGCCTGTGACTGCGCGCAGATCCTGGAGAGCAGACGCGTCTTCGGAAGTGTCGACTGGCTCGTGGCGACGCTGCGGGTGGACCGCTCGCGCGACCTGGCGGCGCGGCAGTGCGAGCAGGGCAGGGGGGCGGGTCCGAGGGTTTCGGCTTTAATCAAAGCGAACCAGGTGTTGAGAGAGCTGAAGTGCAATTCGAGTTTCAAGATCACGATGCGCCCGATTTACCTGAAGCGCTTCGGGCTCGCGGTCGTCTCGGGCAGTTCGCTTGGCAACGCGGTGAAGGGCGGCGCCGCTCTGAAGACATGCCCGGCCGCGGAGATGATCGGCTCGCCAGGCGGCTGCCTGATCCAGTTTGCGGAGGGAGCTCTTGGGCGGTGGAGTGGGCAGGTTTTCCTTGCTCGGGGGTGAGAGTCGCAAGCTGAAGCGCGCGGCCAGAGGTTCATGCGCCGCGGAGGTGATCTCTGTCGGCGATGCGGTGGGCGTGGCACGTGGTGTGAGAGATCAGGTCGCCGAGATGCTTTGCGGCCCATTGGCGAGAGGCGCTCGGTTGAAACCATCGGAATGGCAGATTCCTATGACGGTGATGCCGGTTTCCAGGGACGGGCGAGGCTCATCTCAGACGTTGGCGTGGGCAGTTCCGCTCAGAGGTCAGTGAGCCTGGAGCTTGCGAGCATCAGGGATATTTTGGACCGGCCGCAGACACTGGTGCGCTGGACGGACGGCATTAACATGTTGAGACACGTGTTGACACAGGATATGCTCGCATATCACCTGCGGGACGCTTTGGAACGTGGCACCTGGAACATTGAGTTTCGAACGGAGATGGTGAAGAAAGCCAGCCCTGTGGCACGTGAGCGCAGGGGCGCGCGGGTGCGTGAGTTGGGTAAGGATGGCAAGTTGCACCTGGAGCTATTCAGTCATGGTGTGTTTGGAATGTCTCTTTTCCTCCTCCCTTCCTCATCACGCGCAGTGCCGACGTTCGTGCATGTTTTGTACGCTCGCGCCTCAGTTGGCGAATCATCCTTTTCCCATTTTTTCGGAATACGAATATCAGCGTAGGCGGCCGAGCTCAGAGACAGATTTTGCTGCGAGGATGATCGCAGCGGCAGAGTTTGCTGCGAGAGAGATTTCAGACGCTGAGTTTGCTGCGAGAGATTTCGGGACGAGATTCTGGACAGCGTTGGCTGTGTGGACCGCCCGAGGCAAACTCAGATGTCACGCTCGTGGATCGCGACCACGAGGATTGTTTTTATTCCTGGGATCTGCTTCTGCTGAGGTCGAAGCGGGGACCATTCCACACATACGGGAACCTTTGTCGTAAACATGCGTCTCTCATTTGATTTATTCCTCGCTGCCCCTTTTAAGGTATATGTATGTATGTATGTATGTACGTGTGTATGTATGTATGTATGTATGTATGTATGTATGTATGTATGTATGTATGTCTGCATTTATATATATATATATATATATATATATATATTCTTGTTATTCCCTCATCTCATTTTTTCTCCGTGTCGCTCGTTTGATGCAGCGTGGCTTCCAGCGTAGAAGCTAGGAGAGAGCAACGTGTACCTTCCTCTCGACCCCTGTCGGGGTCCGCCGCCAGCCCCCGCTGCAGAGCTGGGAGAGCAGGGCCGTGGAGACTCCCTGGTTCCACAGATCTTGGTCATGGTGAATATCGGCCGCCGATGGTTCGCGAGGATGGTCCACGAATCGACGGTGACCAGGGTGGACGTTGACCAAAATCGGCACCGACGTTTTCCGCGTTCAGTTTTGGTCATCGCACCGCTTCCTTTCCCGAAACTCATTCGCTGTTCTGCCGTTTTGTGCTCTACTGTTTCCGTCGTCAGTACGTGCTCGTTCGATCGCGCGCGCCTGCAGGGTGGCGGCCGCTCCAGCGTCACCTTCAGCCCGGAGACTCTGCGAGGGAAGGGAGCAGTGATGACGAGGGGAGGCGCGAGGAGCCATAGCAGAAATAGGGGACACTTGGAGGAGGCAAAGGTACCGATACCGCTGCTCGTCCTGGAGAGCTCTCGTCGCCACGGGTGGATTCTCCTCAAAGTTCTGGTCAGAACGCACCCGGGGAGAGGTCTGGAGAGATGTCCCCCCAGGCGCGCTGCCCGAGACCGATGGCCAGCTGAGCTAATGTTGCCCTCTGCGCGAGCCAGCGCCGGCTTCTCAAAGGCCTGGCATTACTTCACCTCGGGGCAACGTTAGGAGGGATGTGCCAAGGGGGGAATACATCGACCCCCAATCGCCCATTGATCGCCGATAGGGGCCTGATAGCCCCACCCCGCCCCGACATGGGATGTATGAAGGGGAGGAGGGCGAGACAGAGGCGGCGGGGGTGGGACCCGGATGGTGATGAAGACGCTGATGAGGATGAGGGGTATGAGAAGGTGGAGGATGAGGATGAGGATGAGGATGAGGATGAGGATGAGGAAGATGATGATGATGATGATGATGATGATGATGATGATGATGATGATGATGATGATGATGATGATGAAGATGAAGATGAAGATGATGATGATGATGATGATGATGATGATGATGATGATGATGATGATGGTGATGGTGATGGTGATGGTGATGATGATGACGAGGAGGAGATGGGTGATGATGATGATGATGATGATGATGATGGTGGTGGTGGTGGTGGTGGTGGTTGTGGTGGTGGTGATGATGATGATGGGGATGACGGTGATGATGATGATGATGACGATGATGATGACGATGATGATGATGATGATGAGGATGATGATGCTGATGCTGGTGATGAGGATGAGGCTGATGCTGATGATGACGATGATGATGATGCTGATGCTGATGCTGATACTGCTGCTGCTGATGATGATGTTGATGATGATGGTGGTTGTGGTCGTGGTGGTGGTGGTGGTGATGATGATGATAAGGATGATGATGATGATGATGATGATGATGATGATGATGATGATGATGATGATGATGATGATGATGATGATGATGATGATGATGATGATGAGGAGGAGGAGGAGGAGGAAGGAGGAGGAGGGATGAGGAGGAGGAGGAGGAGGAGGAAACGAGAAGGAGAAGGAAGAGGAGGAATAGGAAGAGGTGGGGGAGGAGGAGGAGGAGGAGGAGGAGAGGAGGAGGAAGGAGGAGGAGGAGGAGGAGGAGGAGGAGGAGGAGGAGGAGGAGGAGGACACGAGGAGGAGAAGGAGGAGGAGGAGGAGGACCAGTGTAAACCCAAGACTCACAACAATACATCGGCGCTCCAAAAGTTTATTCCGATTTGAGAGGCACGGCACCGCGCGAATGCAGCGCAAGCGCTATGCTGGAGGGGTGCGGCAATGCATGCCCCCCTGGAAAGGCGAGAGCAGCCGCGCCCCCGCGCGAACCCCGATCCCGCGCGGGGCGCGTTCCCGTTGACAATGGCTCACCCGGGAAACCGTTTCTTGTGCAAGAAGTCCTGAGCGGTCTGCCCATCGGCGGCTCCTTCGGACGAGTCTCGGAACCACTGAGACACCGTTTTTTTGATAGGAAGTTCTAAGCGGTTTGCCTATGTTCGGTTTCTTCGGAGTGTGCCCGAAGTCCTCGAGAACGATGTTTTTGCCAGGAGTCCTAGGCGGTTTGTACATGTTCGGGTCGCTCGAACCGGACCCGAAATTTGTTTTGGCATAAGCCCTATGGGATTTGGCTTTTTTCAGGTCGACCCGTGAACTTTTCGGGTCGTCGCATGACCGAGCCCGAAAACTTTTTTCGAGGACTTCCTGTGCCGTTTGCTCATTTTCGGGTCAGTACACCATTTGGGATTGAAAATTCTAAAGTGGGAAGGGGAAGACGATCACGCGACCCCGGGCGGGGGTTTGGCTGTACCCTTGCATTGTACTGGGCCCCTCCGGCCAAACGGGGTGGTGGGTTGCCCATCGGCGCGCCGATTCTGCCCTCGCGACATCGTCCCCGTCCGCCCTCGGGCCCCGCGAGTCTTATCCTGCGCGCGCCGCCCCAGATGGCCGCGGCGAGCGCGGTGGCGGCACTTGGGAAATTTTCGGATCGGCGCAGTATTGCAATAACCCCTCCCTCCAAGCTTAATCTTCATAGGCCCCTATATACGGGTTCATTTCCACAGGGGGAGATGCTCCGCTGGAAGATAACGGTTTGAGAATCTTGAACCGTGCCAGGGCGCCAATCCTGAGACGTCAACGCCACGAACCAACCTTACTACGATCCTGAATCGTGCCAAAACACCTTTTCTGAGACTTCAACGCCGCGAATCAACGTAACTGTTGCGCTCTGGCAGCCGTACACCGTACCAAATCACCATTTTGGGGAGGTTAACCATGGTAATCTATGAAACAACTGCAAACTCTTAACACGAATGTGCGCGGCGCCACATATTGAAACATGTACCGCCATCTATCCGTGAATCTCCTGCAGTTTTCAAGACGAAGGTTCGCGGCGCTAAGGCGAGAGCCTCATTTTGAAAGTGGGCCGCCCTCCATCTGTGAACCAGTTGCAATTTTGACCTAATTATGTGCGCCGCACTATGGCGAGAGCTTCATTTCGAAAGCGACCCGCCTTCCATCTGTGAAACGGTTGCACGTTTCAAGCTGAAGGATCGTAAGTGGTGAAAACTCTCAGGCGAAACGCTGGGCCCGCCCTACCGACACGTTTCGGGGTGCGACAGGGAGGGGTTGTTTAGAAGGAACAGTTTATAAGGAAAAGGAATGGAAAAGAAAAAGGAGGAGGAGGGGGAGAAGGATGAAGATGATGATGAAGGGCAGGAAGAGGCGGAGGAGGAGGAGGAGGAGGAACAGGAAAAGGAGGAGGAGGAGGAGCAGGAGGATGAGGGTCAGGAAGGGGGTGGAGGAGGAGGAGGAGGAGGAGGAGGAGGAGGAGGAGGAGGAGGAGGAGGAGGAGGAGGAGGAGGAGGAGGAGGAGGAAAAGGTGGAGGAGGAGGAGGAGGAGTTGGAGGACGAGACAATATAGAATATTCATAATCAGACAAAGCATAATCAAGCGACGACGTCTTGAAACAGGAAACGGAAAGAAGGACGAACGCGGATGCAAAAGGGGTTCGGATATAATGGTGTGTGAAGGGGGTAGTGGTGGTGGGGGAGGAGACAGGGCAGGAGAAACGCGAACTATACGAGGTGGAGGAGAGGATACTGCTTTCAGTTCCGTGTGCAGAATCATGCATATATTTCACGAAAGTTTGCGATGCAATTGACGTTTCAAATATGGCTGTGCTGGTCGTCTGGAAGCTTGCATTGATGGTTCACTTCTGTACATTTCGCGCTGCTTTTGCCAGGGGTGGCTTACTGGCGGCTTGCATCCGGTTTGCAGCTGTCACAGGTTATCCAGATGAGTATGTGGCAGTAGCTGCGCTGGTAATTATGACTCGCGATGTTTCAAATGATGTGCAATCCTTGTTGCTCTGCACGGCGGCTTCAGCGCACATTGTTTGTCAGATGCGTCTATGCAGTGCCATGCTTAACTCAAACACATGAGTCATCAGCCCTGGCATCCCAGCAATCAGCACGTGTGGCTTCCCAATATGGAGCGGGGTTGACGTGTTGGCGTGCCGATGGATTGAGGAGCAGCCATCTCTGAGTCGGATCGCCAGGGACCTGCCCGGGACCTGCCCGGGACCTTGCCGGGGTATTTTTCGTCCAGGGACCCCAAGGGGTCGCCCCGCGTGCGCGAGCCAGACATATTGTTAATCAGTTGCCGAAGATCTTAGCACGCCTCTGGCCCGTTGGGCCGGCGAATTTGACACGGGTCGTGCCTCCCAAGCACGCGCGCAAGGGCGTATCCAGCTGCCTGCAGCAAATCCCGCCACCGTGTCGGCCCAGCATCGTGGGTGGCGACTGCTCGCGGGGGCCACGGGAGGCCGACACGTCTGACACCTCGTGGAGGAGGGGGAGGAGGAGGAGGAGGAGGAGGAGGAGGAGGAGGAGGAGGAGGAGGAGGAGGAGGAGGAGGAGGAAGGCTGTTACGTGTGACCGTCCTCACTCGTTGAGGAGCTCTCATTGAGCGCATTGGGGCTGTCCTGGGGCTATCTTGGGCTTCCTTTCGCCCGTCTCGGGGCTCTCTTGGTCCGTCTTGAGGCCCTCTTGGCCGCATGGGGCGTGTCTTGGGGCCGTCGTGTGGCCGTCTTGACGCCGTCCTGGGTCGTCGAAGGGCCTTCTGAGGCCTGTAGGGCCGTCTTGGGGCCTCTCCAGAGGCCCTCTTGGGCAATCTTCGGGCCGTCTTGGAGGCTTCTTGGGCCATCATTGGGTCCTCTTGGGCCGTCTTGGGACAACCTTGGTGGCTTCTTTGGCCGTCTTGGGACCATCTTGGATGCTTCTTGGGCCGTCTTGAGCTGATGGAGCTCAGAAAAGCGAGAATGCGAAGCTCCTTCCAAAAACCTTCGTGGGGAATCTATGCTCTGCGCTTCTCCGGAACCTGTTTCGGGTCCTCTGGAGGGCCTCCTCTGGCCCTCTTGAAGGCATCCTGGGCCGCCTTGCGGCCCTCTTGGGCCGCCCTGGGGCCGCCTTGGGCCGTCGTGGAGGCATGCTGGGCCTTCTTGGCGGCCTCGGTTGCCTGCCCGGGCCGCCGTGAGGCTCGGGAGCTTGGGCGCTGCGTAATGGGGGATCATACATGGGGGGGCGGCGAGCGTGGTCCGAAGAGGTACCCAAACGGTACCTGAACGAGCCCCCTGGGGCCCTGGAGGGGCCCGAAAGGGGCACGAAAGGGGACCTTTTCTGACCCCCCCATTCCCAGAGATCCGATGTCGTGATTTTTTCAATACGGGGTCCCCGGAAGTCTCGACCCATTCCCCAGGACCGGTTTTTCATTCTGAGTCGTTTTTTGACGGCCCCGAGGCCCGGCGAGGGTAGGGGGCGAAATTTGAGAAAAACCTCCGTCTTGATTTTTTCAATACGTTGGATCTCTGGGTTTGTGACCCCCCCATTAAGCCACGCCCAAGGAGCGCGGGCCCACGGCTCTTGAACGAGGGCCCCTGCGGCCTCGGGAGGCGCGCGGGCCCACCGCTGCTCCCGCGGCGGGCCCTGGCCTCGGGAGGGCGGGGGGCGGAGGTGGCAGCCGTGCGGCACGCGTCAGCCCCGCCCTCCAGCCCGAGGGCGTTCGTTCCCGCGGACGCTTTCCGCTCGATGCTTACCACTCTCTCTCTCTCTCTCTCTCTCTTTTTTTTTTTTTTTTTTTTTCTTTCTTTCTTTCTCTCCCTCTCTCTCTCTTAGCATCCCTCCCCACCCGTCTCCCTGTATTCTCCCCCTTCCTTTCCCCAGAAGGGGCAGTGACCAGGAGACCGGGGCCGTGCTGCGCGAGCGCAAGGCAGTCCCGGTTGCCGAGGGGGCTCTCTTCGGCGGGCTGGCACGTGCGCGCGTGGGGGCAAGTCTTGGGTCATGCAGCCGGAGTTCCATTTTCGGCCGCCGAGCGTCAGTTCGTTCATGTGCGCGAGCGTGTGCGCGTGCGTTGGTGATTTGCCTATGTGGTACGGCGGAGTAAGCAGCGCTGTGGCTCTGTCCGCCAGTTCCGAAATAAGGGCCGCCCTATGGACGGGTCAGGGGCCGTTCTCCGCGCTATGGTTTTGCGCGCAAGGAGGTGTATACTGTTGATGAACGATGCCTCATCTGGTGCAAGACGTGGCATGCCTGTGCGCACATGTGACTTTCGGGAAAATCATGGCATAGCCACCGTGCGGATTTCTCGGATCGGCGCTGGACCCCCGCCAGGGGGCTACCGTGCCGATCCGAGAAATCCGCGCGGAGCTCCGAACAATTTTTGTTTGTTCCATGTTTCTTCCCCGATGAACAGCCGAAGCGTTCGCTTGCTCCGATTTCCTGGTCTCTTCCGCGTCGCTCTGGCTTCCCGGACTCTTGCTTGGAGGGGGAGAAGGAGGGGGAGGGGGAGGAGGAGGAGGAGGAGGAGGAGGAGGAGGAGGAGGAGGAGGAGGAGGAGGAGCAGGAGGATGAGGAGGAGGAGGAGGAGGACGAGGAGGGAGGGGGAGGGGAGGAGGAGGAGGAGGAGGAGGAGGAGGAGGGAGGAGGAGGAGGAGGAGGAGGAGGAGGAGGAGGGAGGAGGTACGGGCTGCCCCCCCCCCCCCCCTCCTCCTCTTTCGGGGGTGGCCAAGAGGGGTGTTGAGGACTAGGGGGGGTGGATATCATGGCGGGGCCGCTGAGGTATCCCCAGATTTCATGGCGCCTCTTCTGATTTCATTACGTCCTTGTCCCCCCCCCCCGGGCCGCCGCGCACATGCCGCCAGCCATGATCTGCGCTGCGCCCCCCCCCTCTTGGACGCCCCCCTCTTGGCCGCCCTCAACCCTCTTCCCCAGCCCTCCTGTCCTGCTGGGTCGAAGTCGGGCCTGCCACTCTACAGGAGAATGTTCAAAAATAGTAAAACATAGTCCAGGGACGATTTTGGAGTATTTTTGGAGCTGTGTTGGATTATCTCTTATTCCCAACCATCCTGTGGTGTTGGAGGGTCCTCGTTTTGACGAGACGGTCCCCGCGTTCTCCTCCTTCCTCCTCCCCCTCCTCCCTCCTCCCCCGCCTCCCGCATTTCGTGGCCCCACAGGGAGCTCCACCGAAGGCTCCAGGGGGACCGCCCGCATGCGTCATCCACCACCCAGCACAGCATTTCGTGGCCCCATAGAGAGCTCCACCGAAGGCTCCAGTGGGACCGCCCGCATGCGTCATCCACCACCCAGTACAACGTTTCGTAGCCCCATAGGGAGCTCCACCGAAGGCCCCAGTGGGACCGCCCGCATGCGTCATCCACCACCCAGCAAAGCATTTTGTGGCTCCATAGGGAGCTCCACCGAAGGCTCCAGTGGGACCGCCCGCATGCGTCATCCACCACCCAGTACAGCGCTTCGTGGCCCCCTTGGGGGCTCCACCGAAGGCCCCAGTGGGACCGCCCGCATGCGTCATCCACCACCCAGTGCAGCTTTTCGTGACCCCATAGGGAGCTCCACCGAAGGCCCAAGTGGGACCGCCCACATGCGTCATCCACCACCCAGTACAGCGCTTCGTGGCCCCATAGAGACCTCCACCGAAGGCTGCAGTGGGACCGCCCGCATGCGTCATCCACAACCCAGCACAGCGTTTCGTGGCCCCCGAGGGGACTCCACCGAAGGCCCCAGTGGGACCGCCCGCATGCGCTATCCACCACCCAGCACAGCGTTTCGTGGTCCCATAGGGAGCTCCACCGAAGGCTCCAATAGGACTGCCCGCGTGCGTCACCCACCACCAAGTACAGCGTTTCGTAGTCCCATAGGGGGCTCCACCGAAGGCCCCAGTGGGACCGCCCGCATGCGCCATCCACCACCCAGTATAGCGTTTCGTGGCCCCATCGGGGGCTCCACCGAAGGTCCCAGTAGGACCGCCCGCATGCGTCATCCACCACCCAGTACAGCGTTTCGTGTCCCCACAAGGAGCTCCACCTAAGGTCGCCGTGGCGGATCTCGCATGGCGGCCCAGTGGCGGAGTTCGCATGGCGGCGACTTTTTCGGAGGTTTTTCGTCGTATTTCACGTATTGAACCCGCTTTCGGGCCGCGCATCCCGGGCGGGAGCCAGCCTGTGTGGCCCCATACGGAGCTCCACCGAAAGCCCCAGTGCCACCGCCTGCATGTGCCCCCCACATCCAATTCGGCACATCCCTCACACGGTTCGTGGCCCCATAGGGAGTTCCACCGAATGCCCCAGTGCCACCGCCCGCGTTCGCCCCCACACCCATTTCGTGACACCCTCACACGCTTCGTGGCCCTATAAGGAGCTCCACCGACGGCCCCAGTGCCACCGCCCATTTCGGCACACCCCTCTCACGTTTCGCGGCCCCATGGAGTTCCACCGAAGGCCCCAGTGCCACCGCCCGCATGCGTCCCCTTCATCCATGCCGACACACCCTTCACACGTTTCGTGGCCCGGTAGGGAGCTCCACCGAAGGCCCCAAGTGCCACCGCCCGCATGCGTCCCCCGCACATGCGTGGCCCCATAGAGATTTCCACCCAAGGGCCCAAGTGCCACCGCTCGCATGCCCCCCCCCTCCCCACACCTATTCGGCACACCCCTCACACGCTTCGTGACCCCACAGGGAGGTCCACCGAAGGCCCCAGTGGCGGTGCCTACATGCGTCCCCGCCACCCATGCCGGCGCACCCCTCACACGCTTCGTGGCCCCATTGGAAAATCCAGCGATGGCCGCATTGGCGTTGCCCACATGTGTCCCCGCCACTTATTTCGGCACACCACTCACACGCTTCGTGGCCCCATAGGGAGCTTCACCGAAGGCCCAATTGGCGATGCCCGCATGCGTCCCCGACGCCTAATTCGGCACACACACACACACCTCACACGCTTCGTGGCCCCGCAGGGAGGCTCCACCGATGGCCCCAGGTGTAGTGCCCACATGCGTCCCCGCCACGCACACCCCTCACACGTTTCGTGGCCCCATGAGGAGCTCCACCGACGGCCCCAGAGGCGGCGCTCACATGCGTCCCCTCCGCCCATGTCGGCACATCCCTCACACGCTTTGTGACCCCATAGGGAGCTCCTCCGACGGCCTCAGAGGCGGCGCCCACATGCGTCCGCGCCACCCATGTCGGCACACCCCTCACACGCTTCGTGACCCCATAGGGAGCTCCACCGAAGGCCCCAGTGGCGGGCCCACATGCGTCCGCGCCACCCATTTCGGCACACCCCTCACACGCTTCGTGGCCACATCAGGGTCTCTACCGAAGGCCTCCGTGGCGGTGCCGTTTCAGCACACCTCTCACACGTTTCGTGGCCCAATAGGAAGCTCCACCTAAGATCCAGTGGCGCAGTTCGCATGCATCCCCGCCGCTCATTTCGGCACGCTTCCCACGCGTTTCGCGACCAGGCTCGCGGTCGTCGCCGCCGCCGCCGCCGCCCCCGCCTTGGCATTCCGGCACCCCCTGCACACGATTCGTGGTCCCACGGGGAGTGCCGCCGAAGCCGACACCTACTCATATCTGCGGCACCCCCAACTGCGCATGGTTGGGTCTTTCGCCAGGCTCATTTTCCAAGCGGAGCGGTTCCAGTGCCCCAAAGTGGCGGTGTCGCTGGTTCGTTGGCATCTGTGGTATCGCCGGTTCGTCGCTCTGCTTCCGTCAGGATGTCAGATAAAACGCGAGCGCACCTAGCCTGATGTGAGTGCTGTCCCCCTCTCTCCTCCGAAGATGGCCGGGCAGCTGCCCTCCCCCTCTCGCGTAGGTTTTCTGCTTCTGCACAGGATGACGCTGCTTGTGTCCGAGGGTTTTCCAACCGGCACGGCTTCGGTGTCTCAAGGTGATGCTGCCGCTGCAGCACAGGCCTCATTTTTAGGACCAGCGCTCTGCTCCCATCGTTTCGAGCGGCGCTCTCGCCCCAGCGCGGGCCACTTTTTTGTGGATCCGAGTCTTTCCTCATCATTGTCGCCCCGCTCCTTGCCCCTCGTCCGCCTTCCCCTGGTCCTCCTGCTCCTCCTTCTTCTCCCACTCGTGCTCCAGCTGCTGCTGTACCGCCTCGCCATCCTCCTCCCTAATCCTCGTCTTCCTCCTGCCTGCCCATCCCTCTGCTCATCCGCTAATTGGCCCCTCTAATGGACGAATGGACGCAGCTTTACTTCACCGACTTCGCATAACACGCGGGGGTCCTTCGGCGGAATTCCAGGTCCGCTATGACACGCGTCGGCGGAGGAGGAGGAGGAGGAGGAGGAGGAGGAGGAGGAGGAGGAGGAGGAGGAGGAGGAGGAGGAGGAGGAGGGAAGGGGAGGAGGCGGAGGAGGAGGAGGAGGGAGGAGGAGGAGGAGGAGGGGGAGGAGGAGGAGGAGGAGGAGGAGGAGGAGGGAGGAGGATGGGATGAGGATGAGGATGAGGATGAGGTGATGATGATGATGATGATGATGATGAGATGATGATGATGATGATGATGATGATGATGATGATGATGCTGATGATGATGATGATGATGATGATGATGATGAGGAGGAGGAGGAGGAGGAGGAGGAGGAGGAGGAGGGATGAGGAGGAGGAGGAGTAGGAACCTGCGCAAGGGGAAGAGATGGGGTGGGAGGGGTAGGGTTTTCAGCGAGGGCGCGGGTGCACCTC